CGTGAATTAGAAAATGTGCATCGACTATATTAATAAGTTACGTTTGTGTATGTTGTAGTCATATATTTTTTATAGCATTTTAGATAATAATTATGCCGCCCCTTGTTAGCGTGAAATACAAGATCATTAGCTAATACAATCAAGTCTCTTTCTCATCTTGTTGGTGAACCTGTTTTGTCGTGGACGAAAGGGAAAGAAAAAAAATTAATGTTTCGAAATCAGACTTATCAGGTGCATCATCAGATGAACATTAGGTTATGCTTTATTTGCCGTTTTCTTCATATTAATCTCGCTTTTTTCTTATTAAAAAAATGACTCCCTCATGTATGAATATACTCTAAGCGTAAGCTATAGTATATATTCTAACAGTAATAGCTTTAGCCCTTACATGTATCCTATATTAATATTATTTTGTGACGGCTGACAAAACTCCACTATACTTTCGTCAATTGGCGAACGTCCGCTGTACTTTCGCCAATACATACCTTGGAATTTCGTCAATTGGCGAAAGTTCACCGTACCTTCGCCAACACATCCCTGTACTTTCGCTATTGGCGAATGTCCTATTGGCGAAAGTTCGAATTGGCGATCTTCCGGTAACCCTTTTTTATGTTCTATATATATATATATATATTTATCATTTGGATATTATTTGAATTGAATCCTTTTCTTTTTAGAAAAATATTTAGTCAGTAATTTAAATAATTGTAAAATCAGCAAAATGACTTAGAGGATTTAGTTACTAATGAATTAGATGTGTTAAAAAATTAAAAGATAAGTAAATAAGATTGACTAATAGTCAATAAAATCAAAGGTTAAGACAGGAAATTAAAATTTGTTTTAGTATGATTCACCTTTTTTTTTTCTTCTTTTCTTTGTTGTCTTGTATCACGTAGCATAGATGCTATGAATAGCATACAAGTAGGCAACACTTTGCTTCTACTCTTTACTCCTACTTAGAGTTTATGAGTATAAAAAAAATGAACGTGATACAAGTTACACAATATGAAAGTAATCAAACGAAAGATTTCGTTAGAAAAAAAAACATATATCAAAGTGTGGGTTAACGAGGTTATATGTGAGAATCAGTGGCGTAGCCAGGAATTTTTGAGTCATGGGCAATTCATTAGCCGAACTATTTTGAGTTATGGGCAGCTAAGGGCAACCGTTATGATGTCAAAAATATCTATGGGCAATAACTTTTGGAGCTATGGGCAATTGCCCAATGGTCCTACCCCTGGCTACGCCACTGGTGAGAATATTAATGGAGCACGACCATTAATTGAAAATAGCTGATCAGAGCATTATATGAACTGTACAGAACATGAAAGAGCACAATGAACAAAGTTATTGTTTATAAAAACTGAAGCTGAGTATGATGATTCTAAAGGCGTATATGTGTGAATGAAATGAAAATTCATTCGAATCCACATCCATATGCATTGGAATTAAATATTAATAATTTAATTACTGATCATTTCTTCTATTCTACTGACTACTTAAATTGCAGCTTTTTTTTTGAAAAATGAACTATTGGAAAATAATTATGAAATTTGAATAAACATTTTGATTAATTAAGAGGATTATATTGTACTTTTCCAAGGCCATATGTGTTAAATGATCTCAATCAAATTATTGAATATTATCAAAAATAACTTAGTCAAAACCAATTCTTGATTAATTGAACAAAAAAAAATCATATGATTTTGATTATATGAAATATGAAGCTAGGCTAGTAAAAGAATGTATTTGTATTCAAGATTTTTTTACTGAAAAGGTATGTTCTTCATATATCGTAAAGTCAACGAAACATTTAAGTAATCAGTTTCTTTGTTTTTTTTTATCACAATGCTTTCGTTATCAGACTAATGCGTCATTTCTTTTGTTACTAACAAACAACCAATATAATATATTCCTGCTATATTTTTCAAGTACTATAAACTAGAATAAATAAAAAAAAGAAAACTTATCAATCACTATTAGTGATTTGTTTTGGAAAATCTACTTGATTTACATATCTATCTCTAAATATTTGAAATAACTTACGCAATTGTTCAGCTTGTTGAAGAGCAAGCCAAAGTGGTACATGATCATCTTTATTTCTATCATCTAATGATAATTTTGATGCTTTTAATAATTCTCGAAAAACATGAATATTATCAGAAAGTATTGCTCTATGAAGACAATTATTGCCTCTAGCATCTTGTTTTTTTGTATCAACACCATGTTCAAGCATAAGTTGTGCTACACGACACATTCCAGCCATAATATCTGTTAATAATTCAGCTGGATTAAGACCACTTAATAAATGTAATGGTGTTTCACGTCCAACATTTGTTTGATGATTAAGTAAACATTCATGTTTAATAAGAAATGTTGCAGAATGTTCATCACCTAAAAGCAAAAAAAAAAAACATTTTCTCATTTTTTTTTTTTTTTTTTTTTTTATATAAATATATATTTCTTACCTCGTTTAATAGCTAAATGAAGTAATGTTCGATTTTCAGCATCAATATGATTAATATCTGCTTTATGACGAACAAGATTTTCTGCCATACTATCTTGTTTTGTTTTTAATGCTAATTCAAGAGCTAATTCACCATGATCATCAAGTTCATTAACACGCTCAGCTAACTAGAAGACAAAAAAAAAAAAACGTTTTTTTTGTTTTTTTTAAATATCGTAGTTTTTATTGTCTTTCTTACATCTGCATCATTATCAATTAAATAAAGAAAAAGTACATCTTCACGTTTCATGCGTACAGCTTGATGAAGTGGATATTTAGTTTTTTGTTTAAATAATTTATATGCCATTGGTGCAGGTAAATGTTGAAAATCTTCACTTGTAAAATCATTCTAATATAAAAATAAAAAATGTTTTTTTGAAATAATAAATATCTTAAAATAACAAACCCAATGTGCACTAATTAACTGACTACAATGAGTTTGTAAAACTTGTGCACCAATTTCTTCTGCTACTTTATAAAATTTTAAACAATTTCGAACTGTTATTGCTGATATTAATGCAACTTCACATCTATATGAAATTTATAAAAAAAGTTTTTCTTATATAAAAGAAAATTATTTTCTACAAACTGATCAATTAATTCTTTTAATTCAAAACGTTTAGCTGTTTTCATTAAATTTAATAAAAAATCTTCATTCTGTTTTTCAGATATTTCATCTGTATAAATCCATTTAATCAATTGAAATCCCACATCATATGGAATATCTAGAAGAATAAATAATTAATATAATAAGAAAATTTATTGTATATATGAAAAAACAAAAAAAAATAATCTTACCAGATAAATCAAGTTCAGATGCATCACCTAATTGTTGTGGATCCCATTTAAGACTACGTGCAGCTAAAATAAATCGATGACCACATAAAGTTTCACCATCAAGTTTAATTGTAATATCACTAAAAATAAAAATCGAACAAATTATTTTCTTTTTGTGTTTTTCTTCTTCTTTCAAAACCTATAAAGTTCACGATTAAATAATTCTGCAACAGTTTTAAGTAAACGATAAACAAATGAATTTTGATCAAGTTTTGTTGTTGAATTAAGAACATTATAATTTCGTTCTAAAGCTTTATAACGTTGTTGAAGTTTAACATATTCTTCACGAAGTAGAACAAGATGTTGTTGTAATTTACTGATTTCATTTTGATTATCAATATTACTCATCTTGTATAATAAATAAAAGTAAAAAAAAAAAAAATCTAAACTAAAATAGAAGATGAAACTCCAAATTGAAAATTATCTTAAAATAATCGAAAGAAGAACAAACACGTTTTTTCTTTCTTATTCCGTAATATACATTTTGGATATTTTATAATTATCTTGTGGTGAACATTTAAAACCAAAGAAAATTTAGTCTTTTGTTTTATTCGAATATTGGCGACATCTAAGTTTAGTACTCGAAGATTCGAAAGATAATATAGTTTGTTTTAGATTTCATTCTTTGATATCATAGAAAGTAGGTAAAAGAAATCTAATGTACACAGACGGAGACAAAAAAAAAAGAAGCTAATCGATTAGATGAAATTTCGATTACTTTTGGGAATTCATTTCAATACTAATGATGATTGTTTCTTTTTTTCTGAATTAATAAGTAGTGATAATAAATTAGACAATCTTTAATTTTTTTTTCCAAGAATTTGATCCTATTAGTGGATGTATGTGATAATAATGCAAAAATTTTGAATTCTTGCATTTGATTAGATTTTTTTTTCTATATTGTAAAGATCGATTGTTAATGGATAAATTATATTTAAGATTCGAAAATGAGTTAAAAAAAAAGACTTTCATATATTCAAAAACGAAGAATCATATTTCATTTCGCGTACTTGATGACAATTTATGTCAATGTCAAATGTTGGCTGAAAGGGCTGAAATCGTACTCGACCTTCTTGTGTGTATTAGTTTGAGTTTTTTCGTGATGCATTTATTCTTTTCAGTCTAGGTTAAATATGGAAAGAAGTGAGTTCGATTTTCATGAATTTCTTTTCTCTAAAAGTGATTGGTGGTTGAGTATTACTTACTCTCACCGTATCTTCATTACGCTAAAGCATGGTATAAGAAGAACTTTTTCAGTAAAAAAACACCTGAGGGAACCCTTGCCCATATTTTTTTGTGGTTAGCAAATATCTTGTATCAGATAGCTTATGAAATAAAACGACGATATAATAGACATCGACTATTTGAAATAAATCTAAAACTGATCGATTACATTTTTGTGTTGAGTGTTAGTTGTCGAAATTACATAAATATCGTATTGCTATCTAAATAATTTCAATAGAATATAATTTTTATGATTTTCTTCTCATATATTTTTATCTCTGAACGTTATCCGCCAATTAATGAAATATTCATTAACTAGTTTCTAATTGCTATTGACCGTAAATTTAAAAATCATTATTTTCTTTTAGACAATATTCTCTTTTTATAAATCATTTAAAAAAAAAGTTTTTTTTTTTGACAATTTTTATTTTATTTAATACCGAAAGTAAGTGAATGGATAATAGGTATTAACACCTGGAACATAACGTGTTCCAGCAGGATAAGCAAGGGTTGGTGCAGACATATACATATTTGGTTGTGGATAAAATAATTGTTGACCTGTATAATAGGTAGGTTGTTGCAATGCATATCCATTGGAAGATATAGTAGACGTTGGGACTGGAGTTGATGTAGTAATAGCCGGTGCTGGCGATGGTGTTGATGCTGGTACTTCAGCAGTTGATGTACGAATTTCAAATGTACGAACTCGATCTTGTCCCGGTGAGTTTAAATTATCGTCTGGTGTATTTCGACCACGTCGATCAATAATAATTATACGTTCTTTCATTGGTAATGATGTTGATTGCGTTGAACTTGATTGTTGTTTATCAACAACTTTAAATAAATCTTGTAATGTTTCTGTACCTATTTCTGTACCTGGTGTTGTATATATTTTTCGTGTTGTTACCATTTGTTTGTTATTATTATTATTATCATCATCATCATCACCATTAGATTTTAATATTGATCTTTGTGTATTAAAACGATTATTAGGAGCTTTATTTATGTATGGATCTGTATACGATGAGGCAGAATTATCATTAATGACACGAACTCGAATTTTTTCTGCACCACTATCTGTTGAATAATTTAATACATCACTACTTGCTGAACGAGATAATCCATGTGAATGTATATCTTCACCTGTTGATGAACGACGTATTCTTGGAGTAGTATTATTTGGTGAATGTTCGTTTGTTGGTTGTGTTAATTTCGAAGCTTGTTGTTGATAATGAGCAGCATGTGAACGAGGCATTGTTGCGTATGGATTCATATATGACCAACCACCAGGTGGTGGTTGACGAGAATTAGGTATAACATTAGCAGATTGTTCTGTTTCTTTACTTAATTGTTGTTGATATTGACCTTGTGGATAGTTTCCATATGGAGGAGGTTGGGGATTTGTTGTTGGCTTTGATGGAAATGGTGCAGTTGGGGCCGTTGATGTTGAAGGTTCAGCTCTTCGAGAAGTTGGAGGTGTAGATTGACTTTGTTTAATAAAAGTTGAATAAGCTTCTTTGTAACGTTTGTCATAGAGATGATTGATTGGCTTAGGATAAGGTGCAGATGGATTGTGAGAAACATTAAAAATCGGAAATTCATGTGGTGATGGATCAGGACCCTATTTTTGAATAAATGTTCAATATACGATAATGTATAAAATATTTCTATACAATAACTCTCAAAATTATTTGACAAGGTTTATATTTAAGTCTTTTTTCACAAAGCTGTAAACGTTAATAAACATAAATTCAAATAGTGATCTATATAGAATGTGTGATCTTAATTCCACTTATACTTTATTTGTATAAGTGTATCTGTATCCAAATTCCACGTAAGAATCTAATGTTATACATATAAGGTTATAAGAAGGACTAGAGAATCCACATAACGACATGAACGAAAGAAGAACAAAATAACAAGAAAATTCCAACATGTATGATAAGTAGAGAAAAGTCCTTGACGCATGACTAACAATGAGAGACAAAAGAGGAAGGACATAAATGCATATATATAGTCCTATAGGTAAAGAGAAAGAAATCATTATGACTGCATCTAAAGAATATGTAGGTCATAACATAGAGAATTTTATTCTAGACATAGATATTCGAAGATGAAAATGATTGATAATTTTCCAAGGATAAGAATATCTGAAGAACCAAAAACACAAGTTTTTTAGTTCTTGGAATTCTGTTTGAATTACCCAGAATAAAAGGGCAAATATTTCCCTACATAATAAAACATATTTCAGCTCTCTACAGTACTCTTTGTCCTCAATACCGCAAGTTTACAGAAGGCACAAAAGTCTGTTTTTCTGCTATTTCTTATGAAATCATAATTTTTGTATCCTTCTGTATAGTGGGTCTATCTTGGTCAAAATATATTGTATCAAGCTGGAAGATGTTTCACTTTGTAGAATATTGTTTGTTCTATCACTTCGTACAATTCAAATAGAATTTCAAGAATTAAAAAATTGGTGTCTTAGTTTTCTACAGATTCTTATCCATGGAAAACTATCAATTATTCTCATATTCGAAAATTCGTGTCAACAATAAAATTCTTTACACAAATACTATTAGTTGTATTCTTGTTAATGTTTACAGTAATGATTTTGAGAATCACTCGATCTGTATAGTATCATACCTGATTACGCATTTCATATTTCATTCGTGCAACAAGTCCTTCTAATTTTGCTGCTAAAATCTCTGAATCAACTTTTTCACCTGAATGTTGAAGTTCTTCAGAAATCATTTGTGCTTCATCACTTAAAACTTGTGTTAAACGAGCAATTGTTTCCGTATCCAAACCAGCTAATTTTCGAGCGACAAGATCAACCGCTTTTGAGATCATGAAATTGTACTTAGGCATTGTACCTTTATGTGTTAGTTATATGAAAAGAAAAAAGACACAAATAAAAAAAAAAGTATATTGAAAATAGAAAAACGACATAGATACATATACGTATTAATGATAGCGACTAACCAATGTGATCTGACTAAATCAATGTGTTCTCTCCTCCTACCTTCACTACTAATATTGCATTTTTTTTTCTTTCGCTGATTATTACATAAAAAAATGTTCGTATTCGTCCAAAAAAGAATACATAAATATTTTGTTTATTCATATTAGACTAACGTGCACATATTCTTACTAATAGAAAAACGAAATATCCTTAATGTATGCGTCATACTAATAATTAATGAGTGTTCGATTAGGTTGATAATGTTTTTTTTTTTTTTTTTTCTTTTTTCGATCGATTTGATACAGATGATTATAGTTTCGAAATAAACATGCTCGTTAATGAGACATAGTCAATTTTTTAACTTTCTTCTTATTTTTTTACGAATATAGGAACGTTTGAATTAGAAAGGAAATAGAAATTCATATGATTCAACATCAACTAGTAATGACATCTGTCTGTTCTATAATATAAATTCTTTTTGTACTATGGACACTATCGTTTAGAGGAACATAACTTCATACGATTGGATTGAGTTAATTGAGACAAAACTTAATGATCTTTTTCTTTCATTTTAAGTATAGAATATTATCCGATCTTCATCTTCAAAATTGACAAGTTTTTCTTTATTTATATCGTTACAAAGATCTTCTAAATCTTAATAAAGTATTTATATAAATATAAATTAATTTTCTATATTCATTTGTTTAGATATTACTTATTCCAATTAGAATCTTTATAATGGACGTATTTATGATGATTCGTCGACAAAAACTTACACTCTTTATTGATGCTAAAGAATCATCAACAGTTCTTGAATTAAAAAAAATGATTGAAGGTATAACAAAAGTACCAGCAAATAATATACGTTTAATAGTTGATTCAACAAAACAACCAATGGATGATGATAATCAAACGCTTGCCGATTGTGGATTATCAGGAACTGTAGCTAAGGCCTATTCTCCTACTCTTCTTTATTTATGTTATCGTAAGACTGGTAATGAACATGAATGGGAACCAATTGATGTTGCTGAATTGTAAGCTTTTCTTTTTTTTTTGAATTTTATTAATTGAAATAATTTGACAATGATCATAAAAATCTTTATTTATATTAAAGAATTTGAATAGCAATCAGAATATTCATAAAATAATTGATGAATTTCTAGTATTTGATTATGAAAAAACTTTAATAAGAAATTATTTATTTATAAATGTCAATTGTCGTTGAACTATGCGACAGTTATTGATTAGTTTTCATTTTGATCATTCTAGAAACAAAAGAAGTTTTAAAATAATATAAAAGAAAAAAAAAAGAAATGTTTTCATTAGTTAACAGTATATCAATAAAAATTTTATTTGAAAAATATTCTTCATTTTTCCTTCGGTCCATTAGTTTTCTCTAAAATCTTTGATTTGCTTTCCTAGGGCGAATAACTGATATTGAAATCCAACATGGAACACTCATCTTTAAAAAAAAAAGAAATAAGCTTTTTATTTAAGCAATTTGACTCTTTTTTTTTTGTTGTTTAGGAGTACTCCTCCGCCATTGCCTGACGTATTCAACAAACCGGACGACGATAAAAAAGACAATACTCAAATTGCTTCTTAAAATAAAAACATACAAATAATTATATAACAATTAATCGTAGACACATTTAGGGAGTACTTTTTGTCTTACAGCATTTTTTTTTCTTTTTTTTTTTTTGGTCATGCATATGATAACCTTTGTTTTTCTCTTATACTCTAATCAACTCTCTATTTGTGTATAAACTTTTTTGTCTTGTTGTTTCATCATTATTAAAAAGTAAACATCCTTTTCTTCTTCTTTTTTTCCTGTTTTCCTAAATCAACAAACATAAATTAAGATAATGTTTCGATTTCATACAAATGCGATCATACAAAATTCTTTGTTCTTTTTTTTTTTTTGTTTTGTTTTTATTATTTGTTCTTTTTTTGTGTTACAGAAATGTAGTATTCAAGATGGAATGACATTGAACGAGAAACAGAAATGAAAAGATATGACTAGAACGGGTAGGATCATTTGAAACAACGATAAAAACAAGAAAAAAAAAAAGAAGGTTTATAAGGAAATAAAAACATTTATATCATAAATATATAAATAAAGAAAGAATAAAGCGACTAAAACGATTATTGATTAGATGATGAAGATTGACGAAAATCTTCAGGATCTTTACCATCATCATCATCATCAGGACCAGATGTTGAACTTGAATCTTGATGTCCAGATGTACTACTTGATTTAACCTAAGAAAAAACATAGGAAAAAAAATATTTATTTGAAAATTTCATTTTTACTTTTTTCACTTTTTCTGCTTTTGAATTAACAAATGGTTCGATTACTACTTTACCAATATTTTTACGATCAATTAATTTACCAAGAGCATTATTTATCTGTATAATAAAAAGAAAATGATTGTATATCTATATATATATTAAAAAAGTAAGCAAAAAGAAACTATGAATATACATCTTCAAATGTAAATACAGAATCGACAACTGGTTTAATTTTTCCTTCTTTATAAAGTAAAAATACTTTATGCATTATGTCAGATAAATAACGACGTGTTTCATTTGAACCACGTTGAAGCAATTGAATTAAATTAAAACCATGAATAGATTTGCTATCTTGATATAGACGTAAACAGCTTACTTTATCATTCTGCCACCACTAAATAAATAATTAAGAAAAAAAAATGGACTTCACTCAAAACAGAAATACAATTGAGAATAATTCTAAAATCCATACATTAGTCATTCCTTTAGTAATACCAAATAAATTTTTAACATCCCACGTAAGTAAACTTGATGTTCCATACATAACATATTTTCCATTAAATTTAAGTAATTCAATGCCACGTTCACAATCATCTCCTGCCATACAATCAAGAATAAGATCAATACCTTCTGGTGATATTCTTAAAAAAAAAAGAAGTTTATATAATTCATAAATAAATAAAGATCTCTTATTTTATTTACTTTTTAATATCTTCTGTATAATCAATATCATGTTCAAATAAATAATGTATATGAGCTCGAAGTACATCAAATTTATGTGGACTAGCTGTTGCCATAATGGTTAAATTAGGTACGAGTTTTGATAGTTGTGTTAATGCAACTATGAAACAAAAATTTGTTTTTTTTTTTTTTTCTTTTTTAAATAGATATAAATTGAATAAAATTACCTCCAACACCACCACCAGCTGAATGAAATAATAATGTTTGACCTGATTTTATATTTCCAATTTCAAATAATAATATATAAGCAGTAAGATAAGCTATTGGAAGTACAGCTGCTTCACGAAATGACATTTCTTTTGGAATTTTAAATACAAAATCTTTTTTTACAACTATTTGTTCAGCCCAAGATGAAAAATTTGTTAATACAAGAACACGATCACCTCGCTATAAGAGCATTCAATTCAATAATAACAAAAAAACAAAAACAAGTTCTAAATCTTGAAGAATAATTATAACTTACATCGACATGTGTTACATTTGTTCCAATATCAAGTATTTCACCACTACATTCAAAACCTGGAATAAATGGAGGTCGCGGAGTATCTTCTAATAATCCATAACGAACAAGTACATCATTAAAATTAATTCCACTAAAAGGTAAACATAACATAAATAAACATAGTAAATTTTTTAAAATAATAATTTTATCGATTACCATGCTTTGACAGCAATTAATATTTCACCATCACCAGGTGGTGGTGGTTTTGGTATCGTTGTAACTTTAAGTTCACGTTTTCCAGTAAATGTTTGTTGTACAATAATACATTTAATATCAACGGATGTTTTTGTAGTTGTCATATTTTCATTACTAGTCATATTATGTCTTAGAAAAGAAAAAAAACTATATTTTTTTATATATTTTACGTGTTATTTTTTATTATTATTCCCATCTATTCGCGATGTAAATGAACGAACATGATCGTTGTCACCTCGGTCTCTCGTTCACTACTTGTTTTCTCTTGGTTTTTTTTTTTCTTCTTCTTCTTGTTCTTACTTCACTAGTCCTATGTGATGTTATTCTTTACGATAGTGTAGCGTATGTGGGTGAGCAGTTTTATTTATCCGCGATGCGATTACTCGCTCTCTCTCTCTCTCTCCTATTTTTTTTGCGGTCCTCGATTTTTTTTCTCTTATATATATATATCTATATATATTTGGTAGTAAAAAAATATAGCGACTAGTCATTGTCATCGTCGTTGTTTTTTTTGCATCGACATAACACCGAGAGCAAGGAAAAAAGCAAAGAATTCAAGGTTATTTTATCGAGATGGAAATGAACTCTTATTTTCTCTTTCTTTTGGTTTTTTTTCCTTCTTTTCTCGTCGTCGTCTATACAACTAGCATAAACAACAGAAAGACATTGTAAAAAAAAGAATGTAGTTCATCTTCATCATCATCATTATCAGGAGATCTTCTTCTTCTTCTTCTTCTTCTCTTTTTTTTTTCTTTTTTCCACATTTGTAACAACGGAAGAGAAAGCAGCAGTAGAATTTCCGTGCACATTTCTATCATCATCTAGATCATTGCCTACACAAGCAGACAAGCAAGTCAATCATTCTATTTGTTCAATTAATTCCAAAAACCAGAATGACATTCGATCATCAGCGTTGTTGGGAAAGACCAAAAAGAAATTCATACAGATAGAAAAGAAAAAAAATAATATTAATAAAAGGAAAAACAATTATCACTGTTTTATATAGAATAGAAGATCTTTTTCGTCTATTATCTATTGAGATGGTTCGGTTAAGATCGTTTGCTGTTGTTGTTGTTGTTGTAGTGGTTGTGGCTGTATTTGCTGTTGCTGTTGTTGATCCGATAATAATGATAAATCAGTTCGTGATGCCATATGATATTTTTCTATACGTTTATTCACTTTATCACTCAATTGACCAAATTTTTTCCGTTGAAAATAATCAAGTTCTTGTTCACGTCGTGCTCTTTAATTATCCAATAGATCATAAAATATATATTCTATGTAATAAAAAGAAAATCTTACCGAGATTCTCGACCATATATTGAAAGTAATGTATTTGATTCTGGTAATTTATCGCCAAAAGGAAATGCACTAAATAAATAAACAAATGTTCGATTTATATTAAAATATTTCAAAATACAAAAGAAAAAAAGAAAAACATATATAAATATATATATATAGAAACATTTTCAATTATTCTATATTGAACAATTCTAATTGAATTTGTTTCAAACAAGTGTTTTAATGAGAAAAAAAAAAATATCACACGTGTTAAACCTACTTTAATGAAGATACCATCGATTTTTTTCTCTTAAACATAGCACTATTTCACGGAGTATATCAATTAAAAGACTAATCTATTTTTCTATAAAACTTACTCTTGTTTAACATTTGATATTGCTTCCATATGTGCTTCAAGAAATTCAGCACGAATCATTTCTGGTGTAAGAATAAGTTTAGTTTCTTCATTCATTTCACTATTTGAGATAAAAAAAAAAGGTAAATCAAAGAAATTATTTCATTATATCTACATACTTATCTAAAAGTTGATTACGATCAGATGCAGGCATTTCATGTAGAAATGATGGTAAATTTGTTGGTAAAATATCTTCAGAAAATGGATCATTCCTTATAAAAAAAAAATATTTAAAAAGGTTATGAAATACTAAGAATTTCTCTAATCATATTTAGAGAAACAAAATTAAAAAAAAAAGAAATCTAATCGTATTAAGTGATTAATAATTGTTATATTAAGAATGATTATTTATTCTTCATAATCTTTCAAAAATATATTTCAATTAAGATTATTCGAAGAAAAACTTCTTCATTTTTTTTTTATTTCGAATTATAAAGAAAATCTTTAACTAACCATCTTGGAAGCCAAACATTTGACATTGTAGGCACTTGAGTAAGAGCAGAAAGACCTGTACTATTCATATTTTTCCATGTCATTGTTCCTTGAATAATATCCTTTTTTGTTTTTTTTTTGTTTCAAAATAAAAACAATATGTAACAATAATATTTATTCATTTATATTATTAAATCTTACTTCACGATCAAGATATCGATTTGTTAATGAATATCCAGGTCGTTCAAGTAATGGTATAGGACAAATAGCACTATCTACATCAATAGCTGAATAAGGCAATGGAGTTTCATATGTCATTATTCCTGGTGTTGGATTCTTAATTAAAAGAAGAAAAAAAATTAAATTTTTTTTTTTTTTTGACATATAACAGAAAAACTTACAAAAACAGTTAAAGGATGATAAATAGGTGCTTTAATAATTGATGATGGAATTCTTGGATTAATTATTATTGGTTTTTCAGATGTTTCTATAGAACTTATTTTAGTTCGATCAATTGTTGTTTCATCTAATTGAATTAATTCATCTTCAGCTCCAACACGTAATTGTCTAGCAAGTTTATATGTTGTATAATCATATCGAATATATGATGAATCAATTGTTTGATAATTAAGTAATTTATATTGTTTAGGTACTGTTAATGGCATAACAGGTAATATATAACGATGTTTAAAAATTATTTGTGGTGCATTTACAGAATTAATAGCTTCAATAGTCTTTTAACAAAAAAAAAACATATACATATTAAAATAGAAAAAAAATATTTATTTTTATTATTACATTTGAATTATCTTGTTCATCTTCATCACTTCTTGGTAAATGAAATGTACCAATAGAACTATTTCGAATAATTAATAAATGACCATCTGTTTCTAATGTTTCACCACGTAAAGTTTTAAGATATTCATATCCAAATAGATAAACATCATTATCTATAAAAAAAAACAAAAACAAATCAAATTTCTATTTATAATTCAATAAAATTCTATTCGACTTACTAGTTTTATTTTCTTTAAAACTTTTAACAAATGTTTTAAGAGCTTTAAGATGATGAGAAAGTCGTTGTTTAACAATAACCTATTATAAAAATATAAAAACAATACAGTTTTCTTTTTTTTTTGGTTTTGTTAAATTATACTTTTCTAGCTGCTTGAGCAAAACGATCAAGAACTTGTAAACGATTAAGCCAAAGATCATTTGTATGAATATCAAATTGAGCATCAGTACGAATTTTCTATTTAAAAAGAAAACAAAAAAAAAAAGAATTTATGATTATTTTCTATTCAAATATAAAAATGAAGATTTTATTTTTTTCGTTTACCATATCAAGTAGACGAATAGTACGTTGTTCTGAATATTTAACTGTATCTCGAATATATTCATCATCAGGTATTGGATGACCAATACGAATCTATATTAAATAAGAAATTTAAAAATTTAAATAATATCAATATAACAAACGGAATATTCATCCCAAGATATTTGTCGACTAGCAAGAATATTTTCACGTTCAATATGAGATAATGGATCAAAACCAAGTTTTGTTTGCCAACGAATTTTATTACGTTGTTCTTCATCTTCAATACGACTAACATCTTGTAAAAAAATTGTTTCCTATTTAAAATAAATTAAATTATTTATTTACTTATATATTTATTCAATGAATGGTAATCTTATTCTCATTCTTCTTTTTTTTTTAATGAAAAATTCATATTGTCGAATATGAAATAAGAGATCATCTATATGTATATGAATTCTTTTTTTTTTTTCTACAGAATAGAAATTTATTGTAACTAACTTAAATATAAATCAAACAATTGAGAAAATTGAATAGATGCGTTCATTATTTCTTACCATTTTATCACTTGCAAATAGCTATTGGAAAAAAAAACGTAAGAGACTCTTAGAAATTTACGAAATAATTAAATTCTATCTTTTTTCATATCAGAATTGTGTATAAATTTGTATGATGAGATCATTCAACAAAATTATTCTTTTCAAAACTCAGCACTTTCGTAACTAAACTATTATATTAACTATAATGATCTATGTTCATACTAGAATTTATTGAGAAGTTGAGACAGATGAGTAATCTGAATGTGAAAATTAGTACAAAGAACTCAATTTTTTAAATCTATTTAATAGTTAATAAAAGCATAACTATAACATAGAAGTTGATTACAGCGAAACCTTACTAAATTTCTATTCTATAGAAATGTTTAAATATAATTATTCAATATATTATTAATTTTGTTTCTTTCAATGAAATAAAAAGAAACTAAATAACAAATTTCAATTAAAATAATTCATAATTCTTACTTTTTTTTGTCGATTAAGTCCACGTTGATTATCTGTTGCTAATTCATTTAATCTTCTTAAATCTTTTAAAGCAACTTTTCCTTTTTTTTGTAAAAGTACTTTTGATACGGCCCATGTTGAATCAATTTTTTTCGGTATACGAAGACCATCACGTTCAATTTCATTATCAATTATAGATTCTGTTATTTGTTGTTGTTTAGTTATTTTTTGTTTTGTTATTGATGGCATAGTTGATGTAGTTTTTTTTACTACTAAATTAATATTATCTGTTGAAAATTGACCACTCATACCCAAAGTTTTTTTAGCTAATTCTCTGTTAAATAATGAAAACATTTTAGTTTTTATCATTCAGAAGAAAGAAAAAAAAAAAGAAAATTCATTTTTTACCTTGCAAGACCAGGTAAACATTTTCCAATAAATGTGCAAAGAAATGGTTGTATATGAAATTGTGATACAATAATAGCAACAGATAAACGTGATGTACAAAATGCTGTTGGTGCATATGTTACAGTTATATTTGTAACATTTAATTGATCAATTGTACCTTAAATACAAACATTTATTTATTCATATTCTTTTTCTTTCTTATTACCTTCCATAGGTTCAATAGTTAAAGCTGGATCTTGACTAAGAATTTCAATACGATATTGAAATTCTACTGGTGCTGATGATTGAAATGCAAATGTTTTAGTTACACTATTTAAAAATATTATTGACTTAGATAGATATATTAATTATAAACACCTACATACACTTGTCCAATGGGTGTATTTGCAAATTGATATGAATTTGGTAGAATACCATCTAATAATATAATTGGATAAGCATGTATTGGTGTTATTATATGATGATCACGTTCTGGTGTATGTATACGTATAGCATCATGATAATATTGCCATTGTGTTGGTTTAAATATAATTTTAACATGAATAGAAAAACCAGGTACAAGACGTTGAGGTTTTTTATAATCAATTTGAAAAACTGATGTTTGTGGTGGAATAATATCAACACGTAAAACTTCAGATGAACGATTTAATATATGTAATTCACGTGTTTGTATTTGATTTATTTCAAAACCATCAAAATGTATTTCATGTGGTGTTACTTCAACTAATTTATTACGTTTTAATTTAACAAAAAGTTCTAATAAATAAAATAACAAAACAAAAAAAAAAAAAAAATTAATTTAAAAAAAAAAAAAATGCTTTTATATTTTTACTTGATTGTAAAAGATGATTTGGTACTGGTATTCGATCATGTTCAGGTTTAGCAACAAGAATTTCTAATGCTTTTCGTTTAGCATCCATAGCCTCATCACTTATCGGTGGTGCTACTCCATATACAGATGAAGATTGTGATTCTATTATCAAGTCACTCATTTTAATATTCTTTTTCTTTTGTTCTTCAAGTTTTAATAAAAATACTATAACATATTTTCAAAATGAACCATTTGATTTTTTCAATGCTCAAAGTTTGCTAAGCAACAATTGAGAAGATTTATAGAAAATAAAAAGTGACATCTATTAAACTTTATTTTGTTTTAATTAAAGAAGAATAAATTTTAATTAAAAAAAAAAATCTTTCATACAAACAATTTTTTAAATGAAAATAAAATAAAATTTAAAAATCAATAAGTTTGTTGTCATGAAACGATATTAAATATGAGATTGATATGTCAATTCTGAATGAAAGCTTTATTATTGGGTTAAATTTTCTCTTTTCCTTCTTTCTATATGCCATATTTTTTAATATAATTATTGTTGAAGGACTATTTGTAAATTTTATTTATTTGGCATCCGTTTTCTTATTGTGTGTTTCGTATTTCTATTCGACTATGAGTATTTAAGACGACAAAAAAAAAAAAGGCATTCATACATACATATATATATACGTAATACAGATGATGATCATATAAAATAAAAATGGCTACGGCCGGCAGTACATTTTCATCTTATGATCATACAATTCCATCAATGTCCGATGATTCGACATTATCAACACAAAATCGTCGATCTTCTACTAATAATACAAATCCTTCTCATCCACGACCTGGTCAACATTTAGATGGTTTGTATTTAAAATTGAAGATGTTGTGTTTTTTTTTATTATAAAATAGAACTCGTATAATTTAGATGCAGATTTACTTGCTTGGAAACGACAATATGCAAATATTGGTTTAAGAGAAAAAAATACAATGTCAAATTCAGCTGATGATTTATCACAACTTATCGATCAAATTCCATATCAATTTGAAGTATTTGGTCAAGATTATAATGATATGGATGATGGTAAACATCATTTCTTTTGTCTTTTTTTCTTCTTTCAATTAAAATAAGATATATTTTTGTGGTAAAATAGATGAAATACATTTTGATAATGGAAATAATTATGATTATGAAACTGCTATTCAAGAAAGACTTAAAAGGGCTAATGAAGAATTTGAACATGATGCAACTCCATCAGAATTAAAACATCGACAACGTGTTTCATTTGATGCTGTTGTCAAAGCAGTTGACATTACTCAGGATCCTCAAGAATATGAGAATACAGATTCTTTAGCTAAACCATCTGTACCATCTGTTGCTGAAGAATCAACAATTAGTGCAAATAGTCCACAAAATGAAAATAATCCAGTCGAATATACTGTACCACTAAATGATACACAACCGAAACAAGGTCCAACAATAGTACAACAATTGAGAGCAATGCAATTTCATGGTGTTCCACCAGTTGGTGAACGATGGTCATCATCAAATCTAAATAAAACTAATGATTCATCAACACGAGAAGGTATTACTATTTTTAGAAAAAAGTAATCAGAAAAATGTTATGTAATATTAAGCTGATAAACTTATAAAAATTAACTTACTTTTTTTTTGCACTATTCATTATTTCTCTTCTGACATAGTTTCATGACAAATATAAAACACACAAACATAAATGTCTTGCAAATTTTACATAAGTTTTTTTTTTTCTCATAAGATTTTAAACCAACATCAACATCTCTATATTCTTCAATTACTATCTCAATGAAAGACGAAAGAAATTTTCTTTTTCTATTTATTCATTGGTTTAAAAAAAAAAACGTATGTTTCTCAAAAAGTCGTTAAGCTGTTAAGAGAGTAGCAATCGTAAAACCGTTAAGTGTATGAAGTACTCGATAAAAAGTTTTTCTTTTTTTTTTTTTTTGCTTTTTTATGCCTTTAATGCATTGATGTCTGAAGCCATCAATTTCAACATTATAGTGTGCAATATCCTTTTTTTTTTTTCAAAAGTTAGTCAAATATGACTTTCGTATCACTATTATATCGTTATGAGAAAACAAAAACAGTAAAAAATGTTTTTGTTTTGATGAATTGTTTGAGTTTTAAATGAATAGTATGAAACAATAGAGAGTTAAAGTCTGAACAAAATAATCTAGTTTAATATAATACAGTATTCATCAACATAAATTTTATAAGGTCAGTACTAATAAAAAAAAATGATTCTTTGGATGAATCTAAAGTATCCATGCAATAATAGTCTATCTCTTGTCAGGATTCAGAATTCGAGAGTTTCAAGTGAAATTTTATATATGTTATGTAAACTTTTATTCTTTACAAAAAATGGTAAAACAATATTGAAAAATAAATAATACCTTCAGGGCGAAATGGCGTTCAGATCTCACTCTTATATAGTGATTTTTAATGATTTTTCAATAAAAAAGAAAAAAACGTATTTGGCGGTTTTTATTGCCATAACACAAATGTAAAGCAAAGTAAAAATGTCATTCAGAATCAACACCAAAAACTACATTGAATTAAATGTACTTTCGAGAATTTTTTTCCAACGAAAAACTGACCAGGACGTCAAATTTTGATAAAATACAACTAGGAGAATCTATAGATGACTTTTTTTGCAAGAAAAAAAATTCTCTTAAGTATATTTAATTCAATGTAGTTTTTGACGTTGATGCCAAATGTTAGTTTTATTTTGCTTTACACTGTTGTTATGGTAATAGAAACCTCCAAAAATGTTTTTCTTTCCTATTGAAAAATCAAAAATCATTATGTAATAGAACATAGTGATCTTCATTTCATCCGGAAGGTACTATTTACTTTTTAGTATTTTTCTATCATTGTATAGTGAATAAAAGTTTACATAAAATATATAAAATTTAGTTTGGAACTCTCGAATTCTGAATTCTGATAAGAGACATATTATTATTACATGAACATTTTAGATTCATCGACAGAATCATTTTTCATCAGTGTTAGCCTTACCATTGATTAAAAACTCTAATGATTCGTTGCAACAAAAACATACACAATTTTTACAAGGTATCTTTTTACTGGTTTTCTTTTTTTCTCATAAGGATATAAAAATGGTAAAAAGCCGATATTAACTAACTTTTCAAAGAAAAAGTATTGAACACTAAAATATTGGAGTTGCTGAATTCTAACATCGATGCATTATATGAGCAAAAGAAAAAGAAATTTTTTTTTTTTATTGAGTACCTTGTTCTCTCGATGGTCTGAAGATTGCTCTCTTAACTTTTCAGACTCAATTCCATCTTTAATTTTCTTCATGTGATTTGAAGAGCAAAACTTGAATGTACACACTTTTTTTTGTCGATAGTTTTACTCGAACTTAGTCTATGAACGTCATCCGATAGGAATTTTAATAGCTCTTAGCATGAACTACAAAATTGTGATGTAAGTACTTTTTTAAGTTCAGTTATTTGTGTTTTTATTGTATGACTCGTGCGCATGCAACGAACAAAAGTTTATAGAACTTTTAATATTTTATGAGTTTTTTGCTACTCAAGAAGTATTTACAACTCTTGAATATACCATTCAATACAACATTGAATAGACTATACGTTAACAAAAAAAAAAGTACTTTTTGAATATCATCAACTTTGATTAATTAATGCTTATAGAATAATTTGAACTTTTAATGTTTAAATACATTGTTGAAAAGACCGTTGAAAACTACACAAAAGTGCATATTATTTGTGTCAAAATGATTCATTTTAGTGAGATAGTAGAATTTTCTTGAGCAAACGTCAGAATAACTATCGTCAATGCAAGGCAGTCTTCCATTGCCACAGTGATTTCAGTTTGACAAATTTGTCTTACCGAAACAAAAAAAACGAACTAAGATATCCTTGAAGTCGTTCATGAAAACTAATATCGTTATAGTGATGAAAAAGTGCATTGCATTAAAAAGAGTTTCTTCTTATTTGAAAGTATGAAGTTTGCTGTATAGAATACAATCAGCCGTAAGGTTTGAAATTGCCTAATGAAGTACAACTGTACTAAAAAATAGTACAGCACAGTAGCCAAACTTGCTAACATGTTTACTGTATTACCAAAACGAATCATTTAGACATAAATAATTTGCATTTTTGTTCAGTTTTCAACACTGTTTCTAATGATACGTTTAAATATTTAAAGTTAAAATAAAACTTTTTCTATAACTGTTAATTAATAATAAATATGTATAATTATTATCAATTAATTAAGATTAATGATATTCAAAAAGTACTCTTTACCTAATTAGAGTTCATGCAATGCTACATTCAATGAAATATTACACAGTTTTTAGTAATTCTTGAATAGAGAAAATTTTTGTTGACTGATGAAGCACGACTCATGCAATAAAAACAAAAATAAATGAACTTAAAAAGTATTGATTCATACTTTAATTCTTCTGCTATCAAAACGATTTCAACAACATTTTCTCTATCAGTTTATTCAACAGTTTAAGAAATTTTTTTTTTTTCTATTTCGAAGATTCATCATTATTGAAATCAAAATCAAGTAATAATACTGATATTAATGATATTTCTGACATGACAACAACATCATCATCTTCATCTAAAAAATCGATGGTTGTTTCTATTAATGGTGGATTTGAATTACAAAATGAAGATGATTATACAGCCAAAGATTCAACAGAACGACGTCGACATAACTCTGATGATGATGATGATGATGTCGATGATAATGATAAAAATAAAAAAACTTCGACAGAAAATACAAAACTTAAATTTTTACCAACACCACCAACAGAAGCAAAACAACCACAAGATCCATTTAAATCCCCAACACCTAGTCGTTCTTATCCATCATCGGCTAGACCTAAATCATCTGATAGTGGAAAACGAACTATTAATTCAAATAGTACAATATCAAAATCAGTGTCTGATAACAAAAATAAAGCGGCAACGAATAATGAACAAAGAGCCAAAAGGTATCAAAAATGAATCTATATATATATATATTTATGGATGGTGTCATCATTTTTTTTCGTTCTAGCGCTGGCGTTTCAAGGTCTTTAGTACCATTGAATAATCCGTAAGTATAATTTTCTTTTATATTTCTGTTTATTTTACAATTATATTTATAAAAACAAAGAACACCAGTTGATCGTAAATTTGAAGAACGTTGTCAAAAAGCAGCCGAAAAAAAACGAGCCGAATTACAAGAAGAAAGTCGTAAGAAAAAAGAAGTAAGATAAACAAAACTATTTATCAAGTTTTTCTTTTTTTGATAAATTCTCAAAAATAAACTGAGAAAAAGACGATGTCTGAAAATCTTAGACTTCACTTGAAGTGATTTGCCACTTTTAGCTTCATATATTACCCATAAGTAGTAGATCTGTAGACGAGCAACAATTCAAGATGATATGAATTCATGTTCTGATTTGACTGAGATACAGAAGTTTTACGATAGCCTTCCTGTAGAATGCTAGTTATCCAGAACAACTATATTTTCGAATTTTAATATAAAACTTTGCACACATTGAAACTGCGACTAGGATAGCTTGATTTTATAGAATGTGAATATTTTGAAAACTCCAATCTCGATTATACATACTACATGGAATAGTTCTGAACTTTTTGGTACATGCTAGTCTAGTGATATTTTCGATATGTGCAAAATTTCATCTCAAAATTTGAGTCGATGACTGTTTTAAATAACTAGCATTCTACAGAAAAATTTCAGTAAAATTTCTCTATTGCAGTCAAATCCTAACATGAATCTATATCATCTTGAACTGCTCTTAATCTACAGACCTGCTATTTATGAGCAAAATAGGTACCCAAAAGCGACGAATCACTTGAACAATTCATTTAAAAATAATCAATATAACCGATAGTCGTAGTATTGAAAATACAAAAAAAAATCATCTGTTTTGCCTGAATTATAACTAAGAATTCGATATAAAATTTATTCGAGAGTAATATTTTAACTATAGGCTGAAGAGAAACGAAAAATTGAATTAGCCGAAGCACAAAAAAGATTTCAAGAATGGGTACGAGAGAAAGATGCCGAACGTAAAAGACTCAATGAAGAAAAACGTATGGAAAACGAAGAACGAGAGGTAAAAATGACTCATGTCATAACACAATTTTGTTTATCTTTGGTATAAATTGTTCTTTTTTCTAAGGCTCGTCGAGTAAAATGTGAAAAAGAATTAGAAGAATTACGAGAAAAAAAATATAAAGAATGGATTCAACGTAAAAATCGAGAAGTAATGATAACAAATGAATTTAAAAAATTACAAACTGAAGATGATGAAGCAATGGCATCTGGTGGATCATCTTCATCGATTCATAATGCTAATCGTCGAAGCGATCACCGAGCATTTCAACGGTAAAATTTCTTTAATTTGTTTAATATTCAGAAAAAAAATGAATTCGTTGTTTTTATTTCTATTATATATATATATATAGTTGGCTTCGTCGCAAATATGAACAATCCAAAGAAGAAAAACGACAATTACGTCTTGAAGCTCGACGTTTACGTCGTCTTCAACGACGTTCAATAAAACGGTTTCGACTTCAACAAGATCTTCAATTGGCTAAATCATTCGGATATTCATGATTTCTTTTATGCACTCTTTTTATTTCTTAAAAGAAAAAAAAAACAAATTTATCTATTTTTGTCTTCTTCAATGTCTCTTGTATACATTAGAAAAGATGAATGTTTTATTATTTTCTTCTATATTTTTATGATATTCTAGGACACAGACGATGTTATCATTAGTACAAACACACACACACACACTTAGATATATCAGTGAAAGAGGCAAAAAACCACATCGTCATATAGTCATTTGCGTTTACTAATAAACGCATAGAGCGGAACGTTAAAAAGAAAAACGAAGAGAAAATGCAGCGAAATTCTATTATGACCCTTTTTTGTGTATTATCATCTACCTTTTTTTTTTTCTTTCACTAAGAAACAACATACAAATGAAAAAAGAAAGGAGGGATAGTACAAATATTTCAATAATGTAATCCAACGTTCATTTGAATACCAATCTATGCTCGTGTTTGAATATATTTTCTCAATAGCCAAAAATCTTAATCTTGATCAACGATTTGTCATACGTAGAATTTATAAATACTAAAAGGAAAATTATTTTACACGGCAAGGTAATTGTATAAATCAATATCTATCGATTCGATGTCAAGATATAATGTTATCACATTTTTCAAACGGCGATTAAAAGAAGAGGTTGTACATAACTGTATTGCTATTATCATAATATTGAATGTAATGAAAATTATCGAAAAATTTGATTATATTCTCAATTTTTCTCATATTCTTCTGATTTTTTTTTTCTTTTTCTCTCATGATTTTTCATAAATTTATAAATAAGCATGTTCAAAACTTAAACATAATGATAAAAAGACGTTAAGAAATAGTCATAATAAAGTACTAAATAAACAAATGATAGACTTGTTTTTTTATTTGTATAAATATTGAATTTTAATTAAAATGATTCATAATTATTTTCAAAAAACGTTGAAATAAACAATAATATGTATTTCAAACATTACTTCATTGAACCAAAACAAAAATAAATCATTAATTAGTTGTTGAAAAAACTACTATTAAATTTTTTTCATTTTTCTTCCTTACTCTTTTTTGGTTACTGTATATTACACATCATTTGAAGGTCAACATAGTTTACATATACGAAATATATTTTTGTCACATTCTTATTTTTATGACAGACTTAATTAATGTCTTGATCGTCATCGATTTTATACGTCAAAGCTGAGCTATATATATGTATACATATATATATATGTTAAAGAGAAAACAAAAACTGACGTACTTTTACTCAAAGATTCAAGGTTCCTTTTTTTGTTCTTAATTAACTGTGTGATTTTGTTTTGTTAAATTCAGATACTCCTATGTAAGAGATAGAAAAAAAAAATGTACGTATGATTATTTGATATCTTACTCATTTTTATTATGTATTATTCAAACTTATATTCATATTATTTTTATAGATAAGAAAATATTTTGTTATTCATGGATTCTATTGTATTACAAATTAGAAAATACATTCTTATTCAAATTATGTTGTTTTTTTGTTTGTTATAATGCTTAATTTCGTTATTAATATAAGTATCAAAATATTTTTTTTAGTTGACGTATTCGAAAAAAGTTAAATAAAATGGACTGCCTTATTGCATATTGCTATCTATTTTTCGTACTTCATTTTTGGATTCATGTTTTGTAAACACTTTAAACGATGTAAGAAAAAGACCAAGGTTATTCTTTTTCGTTTATACATTGTTTTTTTTCTATATTTTTTACTAATAATACTAATTTCACTATTCGTAATATCAACAAAATAATCATCATTTTTAATAAGCATATACAACACAAAATCATCATATTGTAGATAGAAATCATAATCAACTTCTGTGATAAATATGTTTCCATATGCACCTACACCGGTATGTTAATAAATATAATACAAGAAAATTTTTGATAAAAAATTTTTTTATTATATGCAGATATTTACGATGCATCCGCAACATCGTCAACAACAACAACAACAACAACAACAACAACAACAACAACAACAGCAACAGCAACAACAACAGCAAGCAATGTATGCTCAACAAAGACAACAACATGCTAATATGTTGTTTTACCAAATAAATCAATTACGTTCCATGCAACCTAATTATACAAATCCTGCACTTACATCTGCCAGATTTATGCAACAGTCAATGGAACAACAAAAACAACAGCAACCATATCGAACTGATCAATTAGTACCACAATCTTCACCACCAGTAACAACTCCTGTTCAACAAAAACAACAACAAATTCAACGTTCTAGTCCAATGAGTATAATGACAATAGGTTCACCAAATTCATGGATGGATAGTAGTTTATTACAAAATGCAGAATTGTTTCGACCCATCATTCGTACAGCATCCAATACAAAGCTCGATATTGTATCTTATATTAACTCAAATAATAGTGTCGGAAGTACTACTTCCATACCGTCAATAGTCATGCCATTTGAATCACCTAAACAAAGTCGTCATCATCGTTCAAAGCGTCGATCGTCATTAGGCAATCATCGTCGACGTCAACGACTTCATAGTGGATCAAGCTGTTATGAATCTGATTTAGCAGAGTTTTTAAGTCAAGATGATGATGATTTTGAGGTAAGAAAATATATTTATTTGACAAAAATTATTCATAGCGCTTTTTGTCAAGGAAAAAAAAAGAAATTTTAATATGAATATCGATTCAATATTTTCCTTTTTTTTTTTCGAATCGATTTTCTAATTGAAATTTTTCTTTTTATCTTGATCAAAATGCAACGTTTATAATCAATGCTACTCTCAATATTTATTTATAAGATTATCAATATATATAAACGAAATTTTTTTTTATTATTTATTAGTGGCGTTCAGCAACTTCAAAGGCATTGACATCAATGTCACCACCATCAAAAAGGCGATCAAGTTCAGCAGGTCGATCAAATTTCTTGAACAATGAACAAATTTCAAATAATAGATATCGATCATCATTGAATAATAATGGTTCTTTTCCCGCTAATGATCAAGCTGTTGAATTAAATACAAATCATAATTCATCACCAAAACATCATAATAATAGTCCTTCTCCATTTAAACTTATTCAATATATTGAACACAATATTATTGGTAAAGATTATATTTTTCAAGGGCCATGGGGTGTAAGACGAAGTAAGCCATCGTATTTTTCATTCTATTTATAGTTAATTTGTTTTATTTTTATATAGTGATCTATTGCGATTATACTGCATCTGGTCGACCATTACAATTTATCGAAAATTATATCAAAACACATGTACTACCTTTGTAAGTGAATTAGATTCTATTTTTATAATTATTATATTTACGTCTTTAAATAGATATGGTAATACACATAGTGAAACAAGTTTATGTGCTCAACAATCAACAAAATTTCGTGAAGAAGCTCGTGATATTATTAAAAAATCAGTTAATGCTAATGAACATGATGTTTTATTATTTACTGGTAATGGTTCAACAGGTGCTATTCATACACTTGTTGATACTTTTGATCTTCATGAGGAACATATTCGACGAAATACAGTTGTTATTATTAGTGCATTTGAACATCATAGTAATATTTTACCATGGAGAGAAAAAGATGTAGAAGTAAGATAATAAATTTGATTTAATATATTTTTATTTATTTATTTATTTAATTTTTTTTTCAAAGATGGTTCGAATACCGACAACACAACAAGGTGTATTTGATATAGAAGTATTAGAAGGATATTTACGATATTATTCACAATTAAATAAACGTATTCTTTGTTCATTCAATGCTGCCAGTAATATCTCTGGTATTCTAACTGATGTTGATTCTATATCAGCACTTGTTCATTCATTTTCTGGTTTGGTTTTTTGGGATTATGCAACAGCTGCACCATATGTTAAAATTAATATGAATCCATCAGCTATAGCTTATAAAGATGCTATATTTATATCTACACATAAATTTGTTGGTGGACCGAGTACACCAGGTAAGTGAATAAAAAAACAACTTTATTTTATTTTTTGATATCTTATATTTCGTTGATTTCATGTGTTCTTTTTAGGCATATTAATTGCTAAGAAACATTTATTTAGTTTAAAACCTCCTAAAGCATGTGGTGGTGGAACAGTTAATTTTGTTACTCGTACATGTCGTGAATATAATTATGATATTGAAACTCGTGAAGAAGGTGGTACACCAGATGTAATTGGTTGTATACGAGCTGGTCTTGTTTTTCAATTGAAAGATTCAATTGATGCAAATTATATGCAAATGCGTGAAGATGCATTAGTTAAACGATTCTATCGACATTTTAAAAAAACAAAAACATTAATTCTACTTGGTTCACAAACAGCTCCACGTTTACCAATATTTTCATTTCTTATCTATGTTCCTAGTATATGCAAATATTTACATCATAATTTTGTTTGTCTTTTATTAAATGATTTATTTGGTATACAAGTTCGATCAGGTTGTGCTTGTGCTGGACCATATGCACTTGATTTATTAAATGTTGATGATGCAAAAACAGATATTTATTGTTTGTTTATGACCGAAGATGTTGAGTAAGTTGTTTAAATTTTATACTATGAAATCAAAACAAAAACTTATTTTCTTATTTTCAGACTTCGAGAAAAAGATCAAGTTGTTCGAACGATGATGATGAAGTAAATAGAAAAGTTTTAATTCATTTTAATTTTGTTTTTTTTTTTTTGATTTTCAGACCGGGTTTTACACGCCTTAATTTATCATATTTTGCTAATGATGATGATATTGAATATGTTCTTAAAGCTGTTCAATTTGTTGCTACACACGGATGGAAATTTCTACCACTAGTTAATGACGGAAACAAATTTTTTTAATATAGACATACATATATAAAAATATTTTTTTGTCTGTTTAGTATACTTATAATCCAGTTACAGCTGGATGGACTCATCGTAGTGGTTTTCAATTAGCTCAAACAAGTCTTGAAGAGATAACATACAGATCTGGTAAAATGCAATATTATCGTAATAAAAAAGAATCATTATCGTCACGTGATGGAAAAATTCTCTCAGTAAAAAAAAAAAAAAAAGAATATAATTTGAATAAAAGCAAAGAAAATTTTTTTATTTTATTTGTGATTTTAATTTTTTGAAGGATCCATTTCGTGAAGCAAAATTACTTGCTTCTAATGCTGTACATCGTGCAATTGATTCCATTGATTATACATCTGATCCACCATTAAATGTTCCAGACAAATATAAACATTTAATTTGGTTTGCATTACCTATTAATATTGCTTTAATGATGATTAAACAAAAAGACAATGTAGAAAAAAAACATTGCAATATTGATTCAATTCCATTTATACCATTAGATGCCAAGGTTGATTTAAGAGAAAGATGATTTTTGTTTTATTCTACGTATTCTTAATTGTTTTTTTTTTTTTGTGTTTTTGTTTATAGAAAAGACTTGTTGATTTAGCTAACGCAAATGATTTATCGAATGGCAATCAAAATCGAAAGACACATCATTCAATTCATAATTCATCATCATCTCGTATTCGATAAAAGAGGAAGATATAAGATTATACAAAAGAAATAAACTGCAATCTTCCTTTTTTTTTTTTGATAATTATTATTATTATTATTACTATTATTATTAATATTTATAACAGTGCTTTTTGTAATATGTGTTTACATATTTGCCTATCGATTTCTTTTTTTAGCATGTAAATATATACATATATATATATTTTTTTCATTTACATCGGTAAAAAAATAATATTACTTTCTATTTTAAAATACAATCAAACAGCACGTATAAGTAATTAATGTGTCAAGGTTTTTTATTTTGATTTCGTATCATTTTTTTTTAAATGTATCCAAACAAGACAAAGAATAAAAACATTCTTTGGTTAAATAATAAAACATGTAAATAGGTAGGAGGATGAGCAGGGCTCTTGCATTAAATATTGACATTTTTCTTTTATTTCAAAACAAGGACAAATATATCTATTATATACATATCGTAGTATATTTGCAGTAGAAAAATAACAACAAAAAAAAACATTGATTCATTGTTGTAACAATCATCAAATCCATGCTTGTCATAAATTATTAACTAGAGGCTTTACGAATAATCATTATATTATACTAATGTAAAATGGATTGTGATTAAAAGATAAAGAGAAAAAAAAAAAGAGCCAATGTTATTTCAAATTTGTTTTATTATTTCGTTTTTAACAACAAATTGTGCTCTACAACTTAATTTTTATACATCTGTTGGACAAGTTCGACAAGAAATTTCGTTAAAAGATGGATGTTTTCAAACATATTTTACTGATCAAGAATATAATGCTATTATACCGTGAGTTTGAATAGATGGTTTTTCAATCAAATTTTAATGATCTATTTATATTCATTAGAGGAACAATTGATTTTCCTGGTCAAAGAATAATTGAGCAAGATTTATACAATTCAAATGAAGAATTACGTAATACTGATATTTATATTCGTTTAAATAAATATCAAAATTATCAAATATCAAAAGCAAAATTAATTGATCCTTATTCATTATTAGTTAAACATGATTCATCACGGTATCTTTTTGTATCACGCGATGAAATTGAATTTGATAAAGATCCATTAATGGATGGAATGATCTTATCTGTTCAATTATATAATTCAACTATAAAGAAAACTAATATGACTTATATAACTCGTGGTCTTTTGTGGACACCAAGATATGAAGTTAGCATTATTGATGATCAATGTAAAATTTTATTTTCTTATATATCATCGATCTACTCATTCTTTTTTTTTGTTCTAGCTGCTACTCTTCGAGCTCTAGCCGATATTAATAATGAACATAATCGTATCTACGAAATTACAAATAGTCAATTGATTACTGGTAGTGTTCCACTACTTTCAGGTTCTGTACGAGCTCCAGCTTCAATGGATAAGGAACGTGTAGAATATATGGAAGCTGCTATGAGTGATACACATTCATCAATATCATCTACAGCAGATTCAACAAATTTTGGTAGTTATTCATATAATATAACACGTGAATTTTATCTTTTACCAAAATCTATTAAAACATTTCCATTTCTATCAGTTATGATATCATTTAATTATACACTTGAAACAGCAATATATCTATCAAATGGTGTTAGTTCTGGTCTATTTCAACGTACATTTATAATCAGACCATCAGAATTTTTACCAGCTGGTACAATAACATTTTATTTAGCAACAACAGGTATCACTTTAGGTCAAGGTCGTTTAGTAGATACACCAAAACAAAATGAACAAAAAATAAGTGTAGGGAATGATCCTGATGTTAAATTTAATATAATTAGTATTATAACAGCTACTCGACAAACACCAACATATGGACAAGATGTTAATGTAAATGTAACTATTTCAAATCGAAAAGATAAACAAATTGTATCAGTTAAATTAACTATTAATAGTGGATATCGTAATACAACATTAATAATAAAAAATCGATCATCATCTAATATAACAATTACTCAAGATCCAAATAATAGATCAATATTAATTATTCAAGCTATAATTCAAGCAAATCAAGATGAAAAATTTGCATTTTCTCTTAAACAATCGAATTAAACCTTTTGTTTAGAAAAAAGAATTGTAATCAGTTTGAATAAATTGCAAATTTGACTGTATGTAAAAGAAGAAATTCAGTAAAAGCAAATAAATAATTGTGAACTGTTTATTGTTAACCCTTTGAGGGCGCATTTTTTTTTCAATCGAAAAATGGTTCTTCAATCAATCTGTTGTATTTGTCTTAAAATGATCAGATAAAAACCTGATGATAATGCATCGAGAGAAGAGAGGGAGAAATCATGCGTCAGTATGTAGTAGCAGAAAGAAAAGAGGACATCTAAGAAGGATCTATATGACAGGAAGAAAGAGAGAAAAAAACCTGCATGAGATGGCAGAGAGGTGACCTATTTACCTTAAAGAATGTAACAGTTTAATGTAGAGCAAACATTTTCTGTTCTGAAAGATAGGTGGGACAAATATGTCTCACCGTCCTCAAAGGGTTAAAGTCTTCATGACAATTTTCAGTTTCATAAGAAGCATGACTAAAGTCATATGTTGTGTTTTTTATTCGCTCAATTAAAAAGAAAATAAGCAATGATAAGTTGTTTTTAGTATGTTTCATGCAGTTCAAATAACAAAACAATGGACAGTTAACTGATGAGTTTATTAATATGGGCCGTCTTGGTTTCAAATTTTCAAATATTTGTAAAATTGAAGTTAATGAAAGAAAGATATGCTCAGAAATGACATTTGCTATTTCGATGTGCCTGTTTAAAATGATAAGAAGTGTCCGTTCATATTCACTGACTAATTTATTTCGAAGATTTTTCAAATTTATTGATATTATTTGACTTCAATTCAGTATTGTCCGATGGGTAGTACAGAAAATCAAATTGAAAACCTTGATAATGAATGCTTCACAAAATATGGCTAATATTTATTTATAAAAAAAAAATTCTAAAACATTTCGCTTTATTATAAATATAATAAGGATATCGAAATGAATCTAAAAGCTAATACAGTCAAGTTGAAAATATTCATTGGTATTGTAGCATTCAATATTTTAAACGAAATAATAACAGTATTGTAACGACAAACTGGATTGAATAGCTTTTCGCCATTCTCGGCAATGATGTTTATTCAGCTATTTCACATATCCAGAGTGTGTCTATTGCACATTCAACACACACTTATATATGATACAGAAACAATGGGAGAGAGACGACACAGAGAGAACAATAGAGAGAGAAAGAGGAAAGAAGAAGAGCAGCGAGCCGTGACGCATATATCGGCACAAGTATCACCTATTCATAAGTCTTTTATTATCTCACAGTATGCTATAAATATTTGACAAAAGTTTTACATTAAATTTTATCGAAAGAAGAATACATAAAAGTTTTCATAATTGAATGTTAACGAGCCTTCCATCTTCATTATTTCTGCACAAACTAGATTAAGTGAATTTTTGCAATAGCGATTTTGTGTATGTACTTAATTTTGTTTAATCAGAAACAAAATCTCAAGCATGAATAATGAGATTATCAAGACGAGCCATGATCGTTCGATAGACGGTCTGTATCGACAAAATAAGTTATTCAATAAACCAAAACACGTAGCTATCATACAGATGCAAATATCAAGTCACCATACGTGTAGTGTGTCACATTAGTGCTTCTTGTTGGTTCAAGTCATTCTCTCACGTGAGTGGTATACACAACAAAAGTTCTATATAAATACATTGCTCTTATTAAAGGCAGTCATCGACTTCTAGTAGGTTGAAACATGACACAACCAATGAATCTTTCATCTCAAACTGATATTCAAATATGTTGTTCATTTCGATAAAACCTAGAAGCTTAGCAATAAGGCTATGAAGCATATGGTAACTGAATATAAACTACTCATTTATTCAAATACCATACATCGAACAAAGTATTTAGATAGCCTATGATTTATCTGTAGGGCACTAGATAGATGAAAGGTTTATGGTGGTACTATAAAGGTTCAATTCATGTTTGCTATTCACATTATCGTTCAGTATATATCGATTATATTGATATATCTATTGGTGTTGGAAATGGAAGAATCAGGCTTTTCGAATCAACATTTTACTCAGCGGATGCAAACTGTACTTGAGTTCGGTATCATCAGTTTTGTCTGTAAACTTGTATGACGCCGTCCATACTGCAATATACGCCACTAATAAGGTCAGCGATAAGAATCATATAAAATATGTTGGTCGCGTTAGCCACTGGCTACCAACGCTATTGAATTGCATTCAAATAAAAATGGGTAGACAACCAACTGAATAATAGGGTGATGACCATTAATTTAAAGAATGTTTATTAAATCTAAAAGATATATGGATCATTAGTATTTGCTTACCAGACAGTTTTTGCACTACAATCAAGAACGTTTCCCCAGATTAACACCCCTCAGCGTCGATTGAAACATTCGATTCCGATGAAGTCATACTGAACAACAGCGAGGAACGCTCATATTATGGCTGACGTATTGGTACATATTGACTGTCAGCATATACTATCTATTATGCGACTATAAGAACTAACTCTCAACGTTCGTTCAGTTAAATTGAGAAAAAGTACTTGTCATTTGACCAGAATATTGTATTCCTGATTTCAAATGATTTCTTAGATTTTGTCCTATCCCTCTGCAACAGATCACCCACACTACTAGGTACATTAGTCTCTGAGAATCGACAAAAGAATTTGAAACTCAGCACAAGGTGCTAATACGATTTGATCGTTAGAAAAAAAATTGAAATGATTTTTTTTATCGTGAACATCACAGATTGTTACTGAATAAAGGTAATAAAGATAATTATGTGAAATGATCACAAATAATCAGTTTGACATAGTTTAATGCTCTTGCAGAAATTTATTTTAATATTACTTTTTCATTCGATTTAAGTGATGCTTTACTTTCAATAATCAATCAATTCATACAATTTATATTGAAAATTGAAACGTTTGTCTTCAAAGATGAAATGTTACTTAAATTGAATGAAAAAGAAATATTGAAATGAATTTGTGGATTAATGTTGAACTCTCTCGAACTTATTATTTGTGATAGTTTCGCATAATTATCTTTATTAATCGTTCCCTGTAACAATCTTTAATATTCTTTATAAATGAATCATTCTAAGCCTTTTTCTAACAATCACATCACATTATTCAGATAGATATTGTAACGATCAAATTGTATTGGAATTGCTCCAAAAGTAATAAAAATAATGGTGAAGAGCTGTCACAAAAAATAGATTTAACGTCCCCACATTAAAGTGCTATCTTTTAAACCATTCTCATTTAATTCAAAGTAATCATTTTAATGCCTTACTCAAAATCCATTTTTTGTGACAGTTTTTCACCATTATTTTTGTATCAATTCGAGCTATTTTAATGCCATTTTGTCTCTAAAATCTTTGTCTGAGTAGAATCTAGACTGCGAAAATGAAATTAAACGGCTTTATAGACTTTCTCTTACTTTGAAACATTTATTCATAGACGAAAGAAAAACGTTTCTAGAATATATTGCGCTCTCCTTTTTTCTTTGTCTTGATGAAGATCAGTCGACCATGACCATCCTGTGTTTGAATTAAAACGTATCCTTTATATGTGTCAGAGATAAAAACGTAATTATTAAAAGCGAATCTATCTCTTTACACAGACGTCTTTTCTCTTCGTAGAAAGGGGCGCAGAAATATGTAATTTTTTCATTGTTTTGTATTTAGTACTAAGTTATGCTTCGACCTTCATGCATTCATACTGGTAATAAAGAGTCGTAACTTGTTTCTACACACTAAAAACCATTAATTTCCCTTTCATTCCTGTATTCATGCAGCACAAAAAGCACCCACGGAAAAACGATGCAATAGTCTATGAATGTATTACGCAAACAAAAAAAATTTGTTTCTAATGCATGATATTTTGCTTGCAAATGTGCCTTTGTTGAAAGTATCTTTGGTGTGGATTTTCTTCAACATTCTCTAGTTTTTTTCTAAGTAATTTCAACAATGAAATTCAGGTGTTAGAAACATGAACGAACAAAAGAAGGACAATATTGAACAACGATATGGTGTGATATGATAGAGTAATAGCATTTTTGTCACTGAACTAAACAAACAACAGATAAATAGCTCTAGTACATATGAAAATGATGTCATGAAAATCTGTTTAGGATTTTTACCGAACAATATTTTTGCTGTGGTACTGTATGAACATTAAAATGCTCCAAGAGAGTATGAAAACAAATTTATAAAAGCGTGGCCTTTTGCCTTCTTGGAAAGATAACAAATATTTTTTCTTATTATCTTAAATAACATATAATAAATCATATTGACTATAACTAAGCCGATAGTTTACTTTTCTGACCATTTCTTTCATGTTACTAAATACGCCATATTGGCACCTCGTTAATATTTGGATCCAAAAAGATGCCAATAAATTAATTTAGAAATATGAAACCGTTTTTCGAATATCGTTGTAACTATATCAACTAGTTGCCACAAAAAATCTGTAACATTACATCTTCTATTAAAAAAATTTTATGAAGTAATAGAACATTTGTAGTCATTAACATGACACTTGCAACGATATATCATAACTAGAGACGTATGGGACCAAGGTTTTTTTAGTAGTCTCAGCTCTGATAGGTTTTTGTTATTGTCGTGGCTCTGTTACTGATGAATCTGGTGTAATCGGATCAGCGGAGTCACACTTTTTAATTCCGAAATCCGATCCGATTCCTAAACTATTTTTCTTCGATTCCGAAAATTTTTTTTTCGATTCTGATTCCAACTCCGACTCTGAAAAGCTCCGAAATTTTTTGTAGCTCAACGATAGTGATTTCATATCAAGAAATCGATGATTATTGGGCTTGTGATTTTAGTCAGAATGTTTTGGCAATAAGCATTCTAATATTGTTGATATTTTATTATTTTGATGCTGGCAAGAAGATTCATTTCCAATATTATCAACTATGGCAAAAGTGGTTTGTGCAATTCCAGGTCAAATAATCTTTGCGACCGGAGTTCGTCGGAATCCGACAAAATCCAGGCAAAATCGAGAGAATCTGATCTAATATGATGTGGATCGGAGAGTCGAAATCCGGTCACACAGATTTTTTTAGAGTCGAACAGTAACTGACCTAAATGATTCGAACCCAATAGGATCCAATCGATATAACTCATGATTGACTAAAGCTTACAACATCGTACTTACATAATTGACAGATCTTCAGTTAATGATTATAGAATACTCCTGAAAATTGAGATTGTAAAACGTTTACATTCAATAATATTCTGTTTTTAACAAACTTGATAGTAGACTCTGAGAAAACTTGTTAAAAAAATCTGACGTATATGATTCGATGCAGTTTCATCTCTTCTTTGAAACAGTGAAAACCGAAGCTCTCCATTTAATTTCTATCAAAAGCTATTAAAAAATTACTCGCACTTTTCTTTTTTGATATAGATATCAGTCTATTTCGTGGACGGAACAATGAAAATAAATGAGTTTGATGGATTTTAGTAAGAGTTTTCTGTTATTACTCGAGAAATAATCAGTTTGTTATTTCTTCTATGAAAATAAACGCTAGTAGATTGAATCGTCGTGCGCCTGTGTTCGTTAGCATAAATATATGTTTACTGTTTATTAAGATATGACAACACAAATGAAGGTGAAAAATAAACCATAGAAAGAGTCAATATTACGAAAGAACAGAATATGATCACTGACGTGACTAGCGTTGGGCCAAAATTAATCGAAACGAACAAAAATAAGCATTACATAATTTTTTTCTTTTTTTCTGCTTATGATTATAACGAATCAGCTTGTACTTCCGTTTTTACACCCACAATTGAATACACGTCATTCCGGAATTTCATAAAGCAAAGAAAAAAAATTGCGTATTGATTTCATTATAATCGTTTGAGCTTGTCGTTCTTCTTCTTTCGTTTCTTACGTAATACTTTAGATCTATAATTAAACGCAAGATATCTTCTTTATATGTTATGCTCACGTTGTGAAAGGAGGAATATTCCTTTCTACAGGTAAATAAAAATCTATTGGAAAAAACACTCTCATCTACTCTTAACGACATAGGTCTATACAGGTAAGACAGTCGATCCATGATGAAGCAAAAAAAATTTCATATATTCATCTGTTACTTTAATCATAAGTAATCTGTAAAAAGTCTGCGTAGACTAACAAAATCCTCGAAACTGTTTATTATCAATTTTAGCATCCGTTTCGGAATTTAGTGACTTAATAAGTCCTTCCGATTTTTAATATTTCTAAAAATTTATGACATGTTGCATTTTACTAAACTCTTTTATAATCATTTTAGGAGACTAAACGCTTTGATAAAGAGTTTATTATTACGTGAAGTTTGAGAAACCACAGAATAATAAAGTCTTCATAAAAATATTTAGTCTGCTAAAATACTTACAAGAGTTTTGGAAAATGCTACGTGTCACAAACCTTTTGAAATTTTATAACCTAAATGCTTGAATTTAAGATTTATTAGATTGATAAAGCTGAAAAAGGATTTTGAATGTGTTAATAAACAGTTTTGAGAAGTTGTATACTGGTTTTATTTTATAGAGTCGACTGGGACCATTATTACATTTTGATCCTAGGACAAAAACTATCATTATACGTATGTAAATTTTTCACTCGGCTGTTATTTCGAGGCGAATATTTAAGATTAAACTCATTGATAGTTTAGTAATCGGACAGTGCAATAATAAAAACTTTGTAATCTCATTTTCTACATATTATTCTCATCCGTAATCAAATGGTCTGCAAGAGGATCGTGTACAAGATAAGTTCGAAAAGTTTTATTATTGCTCTGTCTAAAGGATTTACCGTAAAATTTTCAGCTCGAAATACCATCTGCGAGAAAAATTGATATTTATGTTATGTATAAAAAAAAAGAAGAGATTTCAACGAAAAGTTGTATTTTTTTCAGAAAGGAACACAAAAGTTCATTATTCGTTGTTGACAACGATTGAAGAGAACAAAATAATTAGTTACGTATAAGACAAAATTGATTTCCATAGAACAAGTTCTTTGTGTACGCTATATCGCGGTAAAATGACAAATATCGGTCGAAAACTACCAGCGAAGATTGTGGAAGTAATTGAAGGTGAAAATTTGTCGAGAGACAGTTTCATCTATTATACAGATGATCAAGGTTGGGTGTATCAAAGACGTGATGCTAATCTTGTCAATTCGCAACGAAATATACTCGAGAGAGTCCAATCATCAAGTTTTTCCGTCGAACATACTCTTGCAAGTAGTGTAAGTTCTGTTGATGATGCTCGTCCACTCGAAACACTTGGCCCTTTCGGTAAGCTTATTATTAATACTGTTGACATTTTTTCATCTGTTGTGTTTGTTTGGTTTTATTATTTAGGTACTCAAGTAGCCAATGTCTCAGTAACCCTGGTACAAGGCACAGATATGTATGAAACATCATTTAATCGAAGATTAAGTAAACTCGCCGAATATGAGAACATCGAATGTATTGGACAACATGCTCCATTGGCACCAGTAACGCTGGTTGGAACAGCTCGTGATGTTGCACATATACCACGTGATGCAACACATTTCTGTTGGGTTTATCCACCGACCGGACTGACCCAATTATGTGATGATGCAAGGGCAAACATTGACAGGGAAGTGTCAAAGGGTGATCCAGCATATACATTTTTTGCTCTTGGTGGTTTTGTTTATTTTCGTCTTGATCAAGGTACTTACACAACATTACAAGCCAATGCTCTTGTTCAAGCAGAGAGCGGTCTTGTATTTAATGGACCTTTCAAATGGCGATCGGCCTATACGGCTCATCTAGCTAAACAAGGACGATTTCAGGCACGTATATATATATATCTTGAAACTGATCAAAAAAATGATTTTTGTTCTTTTTTTTTAATAGGATGTTACTATTTCGTCACTACTGGATTTAGGCATAAAATATTATTGTTTTATCAATCCCAATGAACAGCTCACAAGTTCTATTGAGGGTCGTTCAAATTGGACTCCCGCTCGAAATGGTGCTTTTGTTTATTTGTACGGGTCTACATTGAAACCTCATCCACTTGATCGGTACTTTTGTGTTGTCAAGAATCCGATGAGTGAACACATAGATACACGAGTTATGCCATTCTCAGTTGTTCGCAACCAACCATCTCTTTTATCGTCATCAATAGAACAAAGGTCTATCGTTTCTCAAAGATCAAGTTTATCTTCGCGATCGTCAAATACTGATAACAGCAAATTCGATTGCTCGATCTGTTTCGAACGAACAATTCAATGCATTTTAATTCCATGTAAACATATGTGTACCTGTGCTGAATGTGCCGAAGTAATCCGACAACAACAAGACTCGCTTTGTCCCATATGTAGACAAAAATTTACTGAAGTGTGGAACATATTTTTGTAAAATTAAATCGATTGCTAATATATGTCGCTTCTATTAGAAGTCAAACATGACTACGTCAGAGGACAATTTATCGCATTATACACAATATAAAAGGATCTTAAATATGTTTTGTAGTCTAAGTAAGAGAGTCACTGAGCTATTCATTATAGATAGGAAAGACGAACAAGTCGCATGTGTTTCAGGTGATTATATATATTACTGAGAGCTACAAGGGAAGGAAGTATTATGTTTAACCCATGATACGTGGAAATAGAGATCTTATCTTTTTGCCGAAACTTCAGCTTAAAACTACGAAAATTAGAAATTTTCAACTACAAAAATAGTTAATCAAAAATGTCAAAATTTTCAAAAACCGTTTTAAAAAAGAATCTCCTATTGATTCTAGCATATATGGTTGCCGAAGAGATCTTTTCATGTACGAGACTCTTCTAATATAGAGAGTTTTGTAAAGAATTCAAAAAATGAAAAATTTCCATTTTCCAAAAACTTTGAAAAGTTCTGTACGAGAAAACCATATGTAGAAGGATCACAACATAGAAGTTTTTTGGTCTAAAATTGGTTATTATTACCGAGTCACACCATTCGCTGAAGAGTACGAGTCTCGTGTACTAGAGCTTGCACTGAGCGTTCAGTGAAGTATTGTTCCAGCTATAATACAGAAGTATGACAGCATCCTAACAAGTCACGGTCTTATGAGGGAATAGATTTAAGCATAACTCTCCGCAGATCTGGTTTACACGCGTTCTATCTCATAAGGAGCCTTGATAAATATCTTAGTTGCTTTCGTTTAAGTCAAAAAAACAAGAGAAGATTAAACTATGCCAGTTTTAGATCGTATTCTTAGTGGCGTAGCCAGAAAAATCTCGTAGAGAGGGTGAGGGCTCAGCTCCCTATTTTTCATGAGGTTGAATATGAACGATTTGAGTTCTTTCTGGACAATGTAACGAAAACAACAAAGAAGTATAAGTATATATAATAAGGCTGATGCAATTTTCGTTAGTCGCTTCGCTCTCGGTTTCGACGCATCTGTTTTATTCTACCTTTGTCTAATATATATATAACATTGCGTTGTGATTGTGCTTGTTGTAGATAAACTGCATAATTTGCTTGCTACTGAAATATGACTGTGTCTTTTTAAATATTGATCAAAGCTTTTCGATTTATCAAGAGCCTTTTTCTAATGTTGAAATCCATTATCGACGAATGTATCAGTTGGAGACTTTTTATTTGATGATGACATTGGTACACTGAAATGACGGCAATAATAACAGTAGCTATGACTTCTTTGGATTGAGTATTCTAGCCATGGTCGTTCATGAAACCAAGTCGTCATGAGTGATCGATTTTGATAATTTCTTGTAAAAGAAATAAGCTTTGGTTAAGCCGGTGAATCTTGACATGAATAAATGATATCAATAATATCAGCAGATATTTCACTATCAGGTTTTTTCTTTAAGGTGTATGCTTTGTTCGTTTTCAATGTTAGCATTTCGAGGGTGTGGATGTGGGCGTGAGTGGTGTGGGTTTGTGAATCTTGATTTCATCGTAAACCACCTACACACCCTACCCACTCACATCCACATCTACCAACGCCCACACCCAATATGTGTGTCATATTTCATTCAGCTTCGAATAATGCAAGAAGTTCATCATATTCTTTACCTTTTTTTTAACATAAGCAATTCGTTCGTAATTTCATTAGGTTTTGTTTGAAGACCAATTTTTGCTTCGAGGAATAAAGATCGTTCTAAATCTTTCTTAAATTGATTGAACTCTTTATCTTTCTTCTCAATTGTTTGTTGAGTGTCTTTTGTTTTTGAAACTTTCAAGTTTTTCACCTATATAGAAAACAACAATTATTTGGAAGAATCCGTGGAATTTCTATCACTACTATGCAAAGGTGATGGAAACTCCACGGATTCACTCTTACTTGGAAAAGATGAGCAGCCATGTTAAAAGACATCATATTATCTAAAGAAAAGTATAATTTGAGGACTTTTCCATTTGATACTCCAAACCGTCGGTTATAAGTCTTCTATAGATCTACTTTTTACTATATGGAGAACATTTGCAGTAAAATAATCAACAAATATGTTACTCACAACTTTTTGTCCTTTTTTCTTCATCGCATTTCGGCATGTATGTTTGCTATAATTTTCGAACGACTGAGTCAAATGGACTCAGAGTTTTGGGGATTAAGAGAAAGAACACAGACATATCTTTTGACGAAACAATAGAATTTCCAAATGCCCTAGCTTTTGAGAAAGGCTATATGGTACTTGAGTTTTACTCGAGTACGAAATGCAGTGCGAAGCTCAATATCGATGTCACGATATGAACGTTTTTGGATATTTTCAAATAGTCACGAATATCGCAGTATCGATTAAAGTTCAGTTGCTCTCGAAATGCAACTCATACCGATCGTATAAATGAGTTTATCTTGAATTACTGAAAAAAAAGTCGTTTGTTTAAAATTAGAAGATCGTTCGAATCAGTTGATCGAATTCAAATGGAATTGAAAGGTAGACGTGACGTGTGAGACTCTTGTTACTTAATTTTCTATTATGCTGACCCCTCTTAATGTGTTGACTAGATGATGGCTATAACTAATCTCGGTCTGCTACGAGAATGAGATTTCTCACGTAAAATAAATAAAACACACTTATCATGTATTGATAAGGGGATGTTGAGGGAATCAAATAAGGTTTTATTTATACTAATAAAACAGAAAAATATTATAATAATACGACAGATGATAAATAATATCAAAAAAAAAGAGAACAAAGGCAGGAACAGGAAAATGAAAGAACAATATCATCAGTAGAGATAAACAACGACGGGAAAAATCACAGAAGAAGAAAGATAATCACTAGATTGTCCTGAGAAAACATGTTATCTAATGAGAAGATAAAAAAGGAACGCCAATAGTGAACAACTGGATAGTTATTGGTAACAGAGTGCAACCTATTGACGCTAACATAATGAAGTTCACTCCTACGAAACTCCAGTGATTCTTCTTGACATGTTTTGAAACAAGGATGTCTATTGATCAATTAATTATCTCTCTGGCTCATTATCTGTCATCAGCTGTTCTCGCAGCTGTAATGCATTAAATCAGTTGTTCAATAAAAGCAATAGCGACTAACTTTTCTTTCGGTTTTCATTTTTTTGATTATCTTGAAATGCAACAAGCATTAGGTTCTCAAAAATTTGTCATTTTTCAGCTCGATTTATATTGAAATAGGCCCTTCACATACAGGTTTAAAAACAAATGTTATCAGTTCGATATGGATATTTTCATATCGCTTTTGAACGAGTGTTTTCAGAGTTTTCGTTCTCGAGATCATACCGACATAGCATAGAGGTATGGGAATGAGTGTTAAGGTATCATAAAGATTAATGCATAAAACCCAATATCAGAAGCTTCAAACAGTGAATTACAATCAGTTTTCTTGATTTCGTTGGATTTCAAAGCATTCGAGGAAATTCAAGCAAGAAGGTGAAAGAGCAAGTTCAGTACTTCGAAGCACTAATGAAGTAAAAGTAATGTATGATGAAGTACAAAGTGAAGGGTAAGTGACGTACGAGTAGAGTGCAATAAGAGTACGATAATTCACATGTACTTCACTTCCACTTTACTCGTATTTCAAAGTGTTGAAGTCGTTCTTTTTGTTTCTTGAAATGCTCAAAAAGTTGAATCACATTTGATATTCTTGAACCTCCAATTTCTTAGCAATGAATTTATCTTCAATTTACCATGAAGCTCTAAACTGCTGATTCTAATAGAAAACACATTATACAAGTAAGAACTCCTCATTGGTCTCCAGCTTTTATCACACGAGTTAAGAATTACAGAGACACTGTATTTTAAAAATGATGTAATTTGATGTGTAAAAACCATCGTATTCTTTATAGAATAGTTACGATCAATTTTATACTAATACTAATATTCTCGAGGTTTTTTCAATAATATTCGCCTATTTGCATCGATTGTGAATATTTGAATGTCAATCTTCAATGTTAATAATGCTTAACATCACTATGACAATACTGATATGATCAAGGTTATTTTTTTTATTAATTTCAAGGTCTTGTATTTTCTACTTCTCGAAAAAACTTTACAAAAACTAAATAGGATAGAAACTTGACGAGATGATAAACATATTTTCAAATCTCTTTACTCTGGAAAAATAATTGATAAAATGTATTTAAATTTTATTAAAAATGAATTTATTAATGCATAAAAAGACCTAGCATTTTACACATTAATCATCACACAAAGTCATATTTTTATTTATTCTAATTAGTTACAAATAACCTGGGAAAGAATTTGAATTTTCTTCAAGAAGTTTTAGACAATGAATAAATATTGTAATTAAATCTTTATACGATACTTGTAAAATGGATATAATAAGAAGTCGTCAACATATATTTGTAGTTCTCGCAATTTCTATGTTGGCGAAAAAATACTTCCATTAACAGTATCTATTTTATAAATTTATTTAATTATAACAACTCATTGGTTTCCTGTATCATCGGTGAACTGTAGTTTACTGATAGTATTATCGGAACTGGTGGTATCTGTCAAAAAAAAAACAGATGACATGAGATGCTATCGTGTTTCTAAGACACTCGTCATGAATAGACATCTGTCGAACATTACATATATAGGTCAATAGTTAGTTATATAAAAAAAAATGAAGGTTGATGATTCACTCACTAGATAGGTTTTTCTTGATTTTTTCTTTCTTGAGATTTTGCCTTGTTGAGTCTTTCATATTGATCAATAAGATTTACAAAGTAAATAAAAATTCTAATGCTGTTACCTTTGCACTTCCTATCCTTTAGCACCTAGATATTTACTTTTGATGTTTATTTTTTAGTTTCACTTTATCTATTTTCTTTCCATTTCTACTAATATATATATATTACATCAAAGGTAAGTTCATAGTTTCTTTTATCAAAAACGAAAGACGCATAAATATATTATCAAGAAGGTCAATGAATCATACTCAGCTGTCACCAACATTATTTTTTCAATCTGATGTTTGGCTATTTAGTATTTATGTTATTGGTACATTTGAATTCGTTTTTTGGTTATGTAATAGTTTTTTAATTTTTATTGAAATATTTGATTTTCCATCCATTGATAAATATCGTATACAAAAACGCAAAAAAAAATTACGTTTTCAATCTGATATGACCAAATTAATGATAAAAGAAACGATTCGTCATCAAATATCAGTTATTCTTCTTACACCATTACTTTATTATATTATAAATTATTTTGGCCATCTCGATATACGAGGACCTCGACCATCATGGTTGACAATAATTTATCAACTTGTTCTTTTCATTCTTTCAGAAGATGCTATCTTCTTTTGGACACATTATTTACTTCATACACCATGGTTATATAAAAATATACATAAAAAACATCATATTTATAAACAACCAACCGGTGTCGTTTCTGTTTTAAGTCATCCTATTGAAGGTTTACAAAATCAATTATCTGTTTGGTTTATGCCTGTTCTATTAAAAGAAAAACACATATTTACATTATGTATTTGGATTGGTATACGAGTCTATCAAACAGTTAATGCACATTCAGGTTATAATTTACCATATGTTAGTACACAATATTGGGTACCATGGATTATGTCAGGTGCTTTAGCACATGATTTTCACCATGAACATGGTAAATGGAATTATGGGTCATTTTTTAACGTTTGGGATCGACTGATGGGTACACACCGACTCTCGACAACCACTAAACGAACTGATTGATAAGACAAAAAAAAATTGTATCAAGTAGCCTTCAACAGTTTATTAAAGAGAAATGAAAAAAGAAGAATGAAAGAAAAGAAAAAGATTCACTAGTATATAGTCAATTATTTGAGAAATGCTTGATTGATGAGAATTTGAATGTGCACATATACACAAGCTTGTATTAACATTTAATCATTCATCGTATTATAGATATGTGCTCTTCTTTCTCACTGGAATTCTTGTCTATGTGTAACATAATAAAGAAGTAAAATGTCTATTCGAGCACATATACATATAGAAGAGATGGTAAATGCAATAATAGTAGTATTTATTTGACTCTTATCGCTATTGTTGTTGCTATTGATGTCGCGTATCAATCGCAACAAAAAATGGCAAAGAATGAATTTTTTCGTATTCTTTTACTCTCCTTCTTTTTCTTTCTTCGTTTTACTCTGACAAGTCTTCAACCATGAGTAACTGAAAAAAAGAAATCATGTTTTTTGACGACAAAAATAGCTTGTTCCCATTGGTAAGCAAAAAAAATCAAAAAAAAAAGCGACAACATTACCTATGTATTTACTTAACATAATCACAATCGATTTTTTTTAATTGCACTCCCTCGTTTTCTTATGAATCAACTTTATTTCTATTTTAATCACCTAGTGATATCCTAAATAATAATATCTCAATGATTCATTCATGTGCATCAACTGTTCATCAGTTTTACTAAAAAATTAATATGTTGGTGATTCAAATAGATTGAAAAATATCTTTGAGCATAGGTTTATTAATTCAAATTTTTTAGATATATATATATAATTTCATTTATAAATCTATATCAAACTATTTTCTTAATTAAAATGGCATCATTTACGAATTATCGAAATCCAAATGCAAATCGATCACAGAATACAAACGATGAAACCTCAAAAGATCTTAAGTCTAATATTCGTGAAAGTCGTTGGATTCAACCTGAACAATGGCAATCACCTGAAATTCAAGAAAAATTTGAGAAGGTAAAAATAGTACTTCTCCAAAAAACAAAAAAAAATAATTTCTCGAAGTTTTGTATTTTTTTTTATTTTAGGGTTCGATTGATTTCTCTGAAGTACATGATATGCTCCAACAATTAGGCATTAAAGTTCAAAAATTTGAATTAAATAGGATTCTTGAAAAACATGATCGAAATAAAGATAAACAATTGAATAAAGAAGAATTCGAGCAGGTAAAAAAAACAATTACGGATTAATTCTTTTTAATCAATAGTCTATTTTAAATATTTATAGCTCTATTTGAAATTACGTGCAGAGAAAGATCCCGGCAGTGTATGGGGTAAAACAGTAAAACCAACAGCTGGCGGTGTCGATCGATTTGTTACTACACGACGTGATGCAACAGATGATACTGATTCCACATCATCAGCTGTTGAACAACAACAAGAAGCATCAGGCCCATATCATAGTGTATTAGTTGAAGAACGCATATGGACATCTAATTGGCTTAATCAGTATGTACATATTAATATTTAATTGGCAAATATTATTTTTATATTTGTCTGTAGACTTCTTGCTGATGATGCTCATTTAAATTTGCGTGCTAATCCTATCGATTCAACAGACCCTCAAGCGCTTTACAAACGATGTCAAGATGGCATATTGCTTTGGTATATATTTTCGATTCTTTGCGTAAAATAAATTGATTAATTTGATCATATAAAATCTACTATTTTATTTTTGATAAACAAAACAGATTAGATGAGAAGTCTGAAATTTAGTTGTTTGACCTTAATTCTGGAAAGACACGTTACAAATATAAAAAAAAGACTTTCTTTTTAGTAAATTAATCAATATTGCTGTACCAAAAACAATCGATGAACGAGCGATAAATTTAAATTTTTCAAAACAAGATATTTTTCGTCAAAGTGAAAATTTAGAACTCGGTAAGATAAACGCACAAAAAACAGCAAGAATGATTATCTAATTTTTTTTTTTAAAGCAATCAATTCTGCTCGTGGTATTGGTTGTAAAGTAGTTAATATTCACCCCGAAAATATTTCTAAAGCTGTACCTCATCTTATCATGGGTCTTCTGTGGCAAATAATACGAGTAAATATTAAAAATAATCTAAGTTATTTTTCTTATCATTTAAAAAAATTCTTTATTTAGATTCAATTAACGAGTGAAATTAATTTGAAACATGTTCCTGGCCTTGTATTACTCTTACGTGATGGTGAAACACCTGAAGATTTATTAAAATTATCACCTGAAGAATTATTACTACGTTGGTTTAATTATCAACTTAAACGTTCACAATATAGTGGCAAACCAGTAACGAATTTTAGTAATGATATTAAAGTAAAGCTTCTTTTGAATTATTTTTCATTTCTCGAACATTTTCTATTTAGAATTCTGAAGCATATACATATTTACTTAATGTTATTGCTCCACCTAATACAAAACCACCAGTAGGACTTAATCCATTAAAGGTAAAAAAAAATCAAATAAAAAGAAAACGTATTTCATCAATTAGGTTTTTATTCAAACTCTTTAGTAAAATAAAGAAATAAATCGGTAATTCTGAATAAATACGCATAAAAAGTTTTTACAGCATGACATTCAAATTTGTCTCGTGTTTTTGATCCCGTGTGGCTTTGATTTTTTTCAAAATAGTAATTAATATGCATCAATATATATATATATTTATAATATAGGAAGATGATTTACGTCGTCGAGCTGAACTCATGTTAAAAGAAGCAGATAAAATTAAAGCACGAGCACATATAACACCTGAGGATGTTGTTAAAGGAAATCCAAGACTTAATTTTGCGTATGTTAATTTATTAAAAAAAGAAAATCATTTAAATATAAAATAATTTTCTTATAGTTTTGTGGCCAATTTATTTAATACATATCCATCATTAGATCTTCCAACTGAACAAGTACCAGAACCAGGTGTTATTATTGAAGAAACTCGAGAAGAAAAAACATATCGAAATTTTATTAATAGTCTTGGTATTGAACCACATGTGAATTATCTTTATTCAGATCTTTGTGATGGTTTAATTATTCTTCAAGTAATATTTATTTGATTGGTTTTCTTTATTTAAAGAAATAAGAAATTTAAATTTTGTTTAGCTCTATGATATAATTCGTCCGCATACAGTTGATTGGTCGAAAATATATAAAACATTTAATGCAATTAAAGAACGTTTTCAAAAATTAAGTAAACATCTTAAACTATGTTTTAGTATGAAATTAATTTTCTTTGTTATTGATAGATAATTGTAATTTTGCAGTTGATTATGCAGTAGATCCACTTCATTTTAAAATAACAGGTATTGGTGGTCCCGATATACTTGAAGGTAATAAAACATTAACACTTGGTCTGGTTTGGCAAATAATGCGTGCATATACATTATCAATTCTACAAAAATTAGCCAAATCAACAACACCTATTGCTGATAAAGATATTATTAATTGGGCAAATCAAAAAGTAAAATCTAATTCAGTTTTTTTTCTTTGCAAACAAATATTCAAATATATGTATTTTATTTAAAGTTAAAAAGTGCAAATAAAAATACAGTTTTAACAAGTTTTCATGATCAAGCATTAAGTGATTCAATGCTTATTTGTGATTTAATTGATGCCATTAAACCAGGTTCAATTCAATATAATTTACTTAAAACATCTGGAACACCAGAAGTATTAATTAAAAACCTTTTTCGTTTCAATTCTTTTTGCCTTGTCTTATAAATTTTAGGCTAAAATGGATAATGCTTTATATGCGATATCAATGGCACGAAAAATTGGTGCACGTATTTATGCATTACCAGATGATATTGTTGAAACGAAACAAAAAATGCTTTTAACAGTTTTTGCTTGTCTTATGGCAAGTGATATGAACGTAGTCAAAAATTAATTTGTCATTTTATCAAAACATTTTCTTTTCTTTCATTCACGAATCTATTTTTTATGCTCTCTAAAACAAAGGATTCTTTTTTTTTTGTTTTTTTTTAAATACTTTTATTCTTATTACTATTCTGATCATTTTTATTATTATTATTATTATTATTATGATTATTATTATTGTTTTTGTGAGCTGTGTATATAAAAGAGAAAGCAGAATTTTGTTTTTTTTTTTTGCTTTTAGAATTACATCGACTAAACACCAGCAAGCTTTGTATTCTAACATTTTGGATAACCTTTTTCTTTCTTCTTTTTTTTTAATTTCCATACAAGCTATTATAAAAGACCGTGAAAAATACATAAATAAATATCAGAACGAGAAAAAAAAGATTGACAATGTTTTTTTTTTAATATTTTGCTTATAATGATAATATCGTACTCGTGAGGTAAGGTGTACACCTTGATTACAAGACTATATCTTGTTTCTTTCATTTTTGATGATAGAAAATATAATACAGGCGTAATGAGCGACGACATACAATATTGGCATGCAACTGATGGAGAAGTAACTGTATCGACAGAACGTTTTAAGCATGGTACATCAAGTTTGAAATGGGAATGGACATCATCATCATCATCATTGACTTATACCAATCCTGAAGCTTTTAGTTCGATAAAATTGGGAACTAATATATGTTTTGCTTTTTGGCTTTTCAATACTCAACAATCAAAAGTCGACGAAAACGATCCTCAACAACCATTACATGTGGAATTCTTAACTGCAACATCCAATGAACCGATTGCACGTCTTTGGTATCATGTTAATTTTCATGGATGGCGTCCATTAGGTTTACGTTATGCTCTTATATCGAAATTTAAAAATAATTTAAATCGTATACATGGTGTTCGTTTTTATTCACCATCGAATACTTCTAATGGTGTTTATTATATAAATGGTATTACATTTGATTATAAACATACAGTTGGACCACAAGATGATTATCAACAACCATGGGCAACACCTGAAAATATAAAACGATTAAATGATGAACCATCCAAATGGTTATTTAATACAGATAATTTCTTTCATAATCGTCCATGGTTAGAAGAACA